TTGAATTTATTGACGACATTGTTGGTGACCTCAGCAAGAGCTTTATTGGTTGAATGACAGAAACAGAAGTCATTATTAATGTTATTATTAAAGTCATTATTAAAATCACTATTAACTAATAAGTGACTACTTATTAATGTTCACAAATGATCCCTTGTAAAGGAGATGAGGATAAACTAATCTCAGTAAAGCCCATAAATTAACTTTTCATCATTGTATGTATTAAGTCCTGTGGCTTTCATATGTTTTTCCAAAGTTTAGTATTATGTAGTTATAGTACTTAGAAGGTCCCGTCATCGTTTTGTGGATGTGACCGGGCAAAACTATTGAAGACCACATAGCTAGCAATCTGCAGAGGCAGGAAGTCTGCATGTCTTCAGTGCAACACACTGATCTTTCCACTGAACTATGCTCCTATGCTCTGGGAATATGTTTCTTTGTTCAAATCACTCTTGAATTTTTTGTTTTGTATGCCAGTATTTTAATTTTAAAAATTTAATTTTAAAAGATGTCTTATGGGGCGCCTGGGTTGCTCAGTTGGCTAAGCGTCCGACTCTTGATTTTGGCTCAGGTCATGATCTCATGGTTCATGACTTTGAGCCCACACTGGGCTCTGTGCTGGCAGCGGGGAGCCTACTTGGGATTCTCTGCCTCCCTCTCTCTCTGCCCCTCCCTACTCATGCTCTCTCTCAAAAATAAATAAACATTTTAAAAAATGTGTGTGTGTTGTTTTTAAAAAGAAGGTGTCTTATAAAGTCAAGGGAACTTATCTCTTATATTTGGTATTAGTATCTATTTCAAGCATATATTATTCTACAATTTATAATCATATATAAAATGTAGCATTCTTGCTACCTGGCACTGTGTTTGAAAATATGGTTTTGAATGCATAAAATGTTTAGAATTTGAAGTCAAATGGTGGTTGAACTGAGTATAGAAGGTATGTCTGGGGATTATTTCTTTATAATAATGATTCTAGGTATTTCAATATTTGATTAAAATAAATAATAACTCCAGTTTTCTTTAAAACATAAAAGTAGCATATCTTTAATTCGCTTTTTAGACTGGATTAAAATTCTTTTTGTTTTACCATTCAGTGATATCCTCTCTGACTTTGGGATGTAAGAAAAAAATCAAAGTTAAAAATCATTGTTTGTAAAATTTTCAAATCTATTCCAATTGAAATGCAGGAACCTACAACTTCCCAAAGGGAATGATGTGCATATTTTCTTTTTTCTTCAGTAAGAAACAGCAAATCTCTCAGGGTGCCTGGGTGGCTCAGTTGGTTAAACATCCAACTTCAGCTCAGGTCATGATCTTGCAGTTCATAGGTTCGAGCCCCACATCAGTTCTGTGCTGACAGCTCAGAGCTTGGAACTTGCTTTGGATCCTGTGTCTCCCTCTCTCTCTGCTCCTCCCCTGCTTTTGCTCTGTCTTTCTTAAAAATAAACATTAAAAAAATAGCAAATCTCAGTTTAGAATAATAAACTCTGCTTTTATATAATTTTGCCCATTAGATTCTATAGAATAAAACAACATGGCAGTCTTGAATATATCATTCAAATGAAGAAAGATGATCCTCAAATTTCCAGCTAGGCTCAGTCAAGTCTTTTCATTAGGGTTAGGTTGCAAGCTATATAGTTTCTCCTGGCTCTAATTAAATCATTTCCATTTGGTATAGATTGTTTTCCTGAAATTTGAGCTGCATATTGTGAGCCTGGGTAAAAGACTTAACAGTTTTGACTTCATAGTTTTGAAAGATCTCTATGTAAATCTGGATATGGAGATTCTGTGTTATTAGCAAATTAATGACATTTTTGGTCATGATGAAAAATTTAATTCAGTATCTAATTGGTATTGGTTGAAAGACCTTCTTAGTTCTTAGCAGCCAGAAGTAGAATTCTTTTGTCTATGGTGGTGGAGATGAATGGGGAATACAGTAGGATGCAGCAGAGTAGAGGAAAGACTTGGTTATAATAAACTGTGTATCTGTGACTTAGAGTGAAGGGTAGGATTTTTTCACCTGGCTCACTGTAGCATGTAGCCCTAGTTTCCTTGGTGGGTGAGTGAATTTCCATCACCCAACTTGTTCCCAGATACCCATGAGAATCATTCACTGCTACTTCTCATTGCCCAAACTACTCCTCCCCTGGCATAGTAATAAAAATATTTATAACCCTGACATGCTGTAATTAAAAGTACAATTTCCCTGCTTTAGGTAGTAGTTTAAACCATTAGAAATAAAAGTTATACCAATAAATCAAGCAATTTCCAAAGTGGGGAAAGAACTAGTCTTTTGCCTCCATCCATATCCCAAAGTGGCAACCTAGTAAATGTCACTGTTCTTGATTTTTTCTTTTTTAAAGTAGGCTCCACACTGGGAGCCCAAGGTGAGGCTTGAACTCATGACCCTGAGATCAAGACCTGAGCTGAGATCAAGAGTCGAATGCTTAACTGACTGAGCCACCTAAGCACCCTGTTACTGATCTTTTATTCTGAAAACTAAAACAACAACTCTGGATTTGCAAAGAGTTCATTGGAAAGTATCTTTAATACACATAATTAGGTTTGGAGTGGAGATGTCAACACTGACTTAATTTTCAGTACTTCTAAATATTAGTTATACCTAGAGTATCCCTTCATATCATGTATTTAACCCTAGTTATTGGCAACTACTTATTTTTCTACCACAGTTCCTTTTTGGAAAACAGCTCAGAACAAGAAAAACATAGAAGACCCCTCTCTGATCATTCAAAACAGATAGTAAGAAGTCTATGCACTGATTCAAATTAAGCCCCTTGGGTCCCTACCCAAAGGTCTGTTGTCAAAAATTATTATTTTAGGGCTGCCTGGGTGGCTCACTTGGTTAAGTGACCAACTCTTGATCTCAGCTCAGGTCATGATCTCACAGTTTGTGGGATCAAGCCCTGTGTTGGGCTCTGCACTGACAGTGTGGAGCCTGCTTGGGATTCTCTCTCTCTGCCTCTCTCTCTTTCAAAATAAATAAACTTTAAATATATTACTTTAGATATAATATTAGTATATTTGTTGAAAGCAAAAACAAAGCAGATCAGAAGCAGTAAATTAGGATCAGGTCTGCAGAGCACTAGCAGTAGAGAGACGTGACAGCTGGTAGTCTAACAGTAACAAATGAGAATGAAAAGCAAGTCAAGATTTAAGCAAAAATATGGTGATCATTTTGCAATATATACAAATATCAAATCATTATGTTGTACACCTGATACTATTATTATGTGCCAAACTGAATCTCAATTTAAAAAGAATATATTGTTTTATGGGTTTAGTAATAATGTTATATGGGCTAAGGCATTTAAAGAATATCAAAGACTACTACATGCTACTCAAGGTTGATAGCACACAAAGATTCAGTGCACAAAGCAGCTTAGGTCTCTGCTGTCATGGAGTTATCATCTGGGCAGAGTTGTGGAGAAAGATGAAAACCCAACCCCACACACCCACCCACACACATTCTCAAAAAACCCCCCCCCCCCCACCGCCCCCAACAAAGAATTAAGCAATAAAAGAAGTATACAGACACTTAATGCCCAGACAGCAGCCTTTTATGCCTTAATGATGCTTGGCTTTACTTTTGTGTTAAAGAATGTCATAAGAATGAAGGTTTAGGGGTGTCTGGGTGGCTCAGTTGGTTGGGCAACCCACTCTTGGTTTCAGGTCAGTCTGTGACTTGTTGTGGGATCGAGCCCTGTGTCAGGCTACATGCTGAATGTGGAGCCTGCTTGGGATTCTCGCTCGCTCTCTCGCTCTCTCTCCCCCTCCACTGCCCCTCATCTGCCCCTCCCCCACTCACATGTGTGCTCTCTCTCAAAATAAATAAACATTAAAAATAAAATATGGGGCCTGGGTGGCTCAGTTGATTGAGTGTCTGACTTTGGCTCAGGTCATGATCTCATAGTTCGGTTCCAGAGTTTAAGTGCCATGTTAGACTCTGTGCTGACAGCTCAGAGCCTGGAGCCTGCTTTGGATTCTGTGTCTCCCCCTCTCTCTGCCCCTCCCCTGCTCATGCTCTGTCTCTGTCTCTCTCTCTCAAAAATATATAAACATTAAATAAAATAAAAAAGAATAAAGTTTTATATTTCAGAGGGCACAGAGTAGACACTCAATAAATACTTTTTGAATCGGTCATTAAGAAAAAAGGGGTAGGGTTAAATAGGTGATAGAGATTAAGGAGCTCACTTGTCATGAGCATCAGGTGTTGTACGGAAGTGTTGAGTCACTAAATTATACACCAGAAACTAATATTACACTTTATGTTAACTAACTGGAATCTAGAGAACTAAAAAAAAAGAAAAAAGACTAGATTATACTTGATTAACTCTATTTATAGGATAAAAGGAACTCTGTCCCACTTCTATAAAGAATAAAAGGAGGGGCGCCTGGGTGGCGCAGTCGGTTAAGCGTCCGACTTCAGTCAGGTCACGATCTCGCGGTCCGTGAGTTCGAGCCCCGCGTCGGGCTCTGGGCTGATGGCTCAGAGCCTGGAGCCTGTTTCCGATTCTGTGTCTCCCTCTCTCTCTGCCCCTCCCCCGTTCATGCTCTGGCTCTCTCTGTCCCAAAAATAAATAAACGTTGAAAAAAAAAATTAAAAAAAAAAAAGAATAAAAGGAAATGTGCGACAGAGCTCTCTTTATCCTAGAAAGATTTTATTTAAAAATTTATTGTTATTGTTATTTTTAAGCACATTTTTGGAATGTAAAATGGTAAGCTTTAGTTACTAGGAAAATTAACTTTTGGGAATGAACTTATTTTCTGTTAATTCTAAATTAATTAGGAATTACTATTGTTTGATTCTGCAGTTCACATTTACTTTTTTATTTATTAGCACTAGATACTATCACATGAGAGCTTACATCAATTATTTTTTATTTCCTTTGAATTTCAGAAGTGTCTACTATCTGGGGGAATGTGTCAGAATTTGTGCAACGACAGCTATCCCTACAAAAGGCAAGATTTATACTTTAAGTTTAATGCAAGAGTCCAAAGGATCTTTCTTCCTTGGTCTTGTATAATTTTGCTGGGAGCAAGATAACAGATTTTAGAGCCATTCAATTTGACTTTCAGTCCTGTGATTTTATGATGCTCACACTATGACTTACAGATAGCATTTAACAAACATGGATTTTATTCTTAGGTAATGAATTTGTAAAAGTTCTCTCTAGTGATACCAAGCAGATCACTGACCAGTCTGGATGTGTGTAGAGGAACTAGATGAATTCTGTTGATCTGTGACCTGATAGTTTCTGGCATTGCTTATAGAAGGATGTAATGCTTCCTGCCATGCCTCTTTGCAGGGAATGGGTTTTGACTGAAATACAAGAAGACAATCTGGGATTGAACTCATCTTACCAAAAATGAGAAACTTTGCCCAGACTTCAGTTTGGATGCCATGGAACTGGACAGAGATTTGGGGAGTTTGGAGGGAGCAGGGAAATTGTGAAACTTTTATATCCTACTCACAGGTCCCATTATGACAACCCGTGGGCTGAATTCGTCCTTCAAACTTATCTTGTTTGGTCTGATAATTTGAAGTAGTCATCACCAACCTAAAATTTGGAGAGTTTATATAAAGTTTTGGACTTGTTTCTCTTTTCTTGAAAAATCAGCAGATTTAACAACACCAGTTTCCCATTCCTGCATGATGACACTTGGCTGGAGCCAACAGTGAGCTCTTCCCTTTGGATGGGGTTTGTACTTTCTAGCCACTGCACTCTCTGGCTGGCTACCTTCATTCCCTTGCGTTCTTTCGTGGGTGGTGCCTGAAGGCATTTGAATTTGTAACCCTTGAGGTGTGATATTTCCAGGGAGACAGAGGCCTAGTTTGAGAGCCAAAAGCATTTGCTTCTACCCCTCAGCCAAGATCACTACACTGCAGCAGATGCCTTGGATGCTGGATTGTCTGGTTTTAAGTGAGAGACAAAACCTAAAAGAAGGAATGAGAAAGCAGAGATTCTTACAGCTTTTTAAATTCCTTCTTTCTAATGGTAAATGATTAAAATTCAGAATTTCCCACGATTTAGGATAAGAGGAATCTTAAGTATAGATTAAAAGTAGCAATGGCATCCATACAAGTTATCTTAGTCCTCACAGCCTTTGAATGGTAATGGAGATGCAGGGTCTGATGTCAGAAGCATTGTAGATCAATATATTACATTTTATACTTACATGAGAACTTAGAATCATGACATACTATAGCTGGAAGAGAGTTTAGAAATCATTGAATATTTACGGCTTAATTGTTTTCATGGGGTTTTTTTGAATAGCGGTACTAAGGGTTATTTTTCCTTACCTCTTCAGTGATTTCTGATTGTTGCTCTTTTTTTTCCCCCCTTCCTTTTTCTTTCAGGGTGTTCAGATCCCAGGGCTTGGAACTTTTACTTTAATGAGACAAAAAATTGACGTGGGAAACAACAAGTTTATTCTGATTCAGAGACCCATATTTATCATGGCAGAGAAGTTAGTACGGACCCATGAACTCAAACAAAACAAAACATACATTCCTGGTAAATCTTTTCAATATTTAAGACATTCTCAGAAAGTTACTGGCCTGGGGATGAAAATGGAAGGGCAAAGTTTGTTCAGTTGCTGCTTTATCAGTTTGTGATTTCAGCTCACTTTTCACATGGTACCTTTGGAAGAGGGAAGGGCCAAGGTGGGAAATGATAGACAGTCTTCCTGCAGGACATTTTAAACCTCAGTAGCTTAAGAGGCAGGCATGGGAAGACTTGATGTGATATCAAGGCACATTTACATGCCACATTACAGAGTTATACAGCCTTTGTTCATTTTTTTAGACCCTCAGAAATTAAAAGTGGTTATAGAGAAAAAGTTAATTAGGGACTGTAATTAGAATTACAGTCCATATTAGCTATGAAAAAGATCACTAACTGTGTTCTATCGTATATAATGTACATTATTAAAACTTAGGAGTGAGGTTAATAATTCCATAAAGACTTAATGAATACCTTATATACCTCTCACACCCTAAAATCTTCCTCCCTTGCTTTCTCCCTCCCTCCTTCCTCTTTCCTTCCTTCTGCCTCCCTTCCTTTCTTCCCTCTTTCCACAAATATTTACTGAGAGCCAACTATGTGTTAGGCCTTGTTCCAGGCACTTGAGATATAGTGATAAGCTAAAGGGACATGGTGCCTGACAGAGGATGCTTACTTACCTTCCAGCTTTGGTGTGTAGACTTGGTGACACCTCCCCTGGTTACTTAGAGGCCTTTGGGGACGTCCTTCCTGATTTTGGGGCTGTATTCATTTTAACCTTCCTTATCATCCCCTCTTGCATTGCACTCCTACGTGGATAGAGACAGTCCACCCCAAATGTCAGCAGGTCAAAAGGCTAAAACTGGCCTTTACGGTAACTTCCCTGAAAGTTAATTTTCAGAGTAACTTACCACCAAAAAAATGAAATATTGGAAAACCAAATACCAACAAGTTATACTTAGAATTCATTATGCATATGATCTTTATGGTAGATTTGATGGACTTTTCAGCCATTTTTGCCTAGAATTTTATGACAGAAGGCATATAATACCCCAATTCATCAAAAACCTACCAAATAAAGTGAAAATAAAGCCAACTTGTTTTTTTTTTAACAAAAACATCTTGGATCTCATAGTATAGTCCAAAAAAAGTAGCTTAGATCTATAATTAATTTTTTTACAAGGCTGAAGAAATTTCAGAATTAAATATATATGATTGAATTAATTCACAAGAACAATTCTATCTCTAGTTTAGCTTTGTGGTTATGAGTCTTCATCATTAATTAAGTAGGTAATTAATTAAACATTATACATTGGTTCTTAAAGATAATCAAGACATGGTCCTTGCTTTGAAGAGCTCAAAATTTAGCATGGGAGATAAATATATAAGCAAATATTTCAACCTGATTAAATGCTGTGAAAGCAGCATTGATCAGAACTAGATTGAATGTAGGGGAGCCCAGAGGAGAGCATACTTAACTTTGCTCAGGGTGGCTTAGGAAGATGACATATCCCAGGAGGTCTTAAAGAATGATAGGGCTTTGCTGGCATAGAAGCTGTGGGAGATATTTCAGGAACAATAAGAATAATTCAAGAATATGAATAAGGTACTTCTCTGTGGCCAGAATGATTGTGGAGGCAATTGGAGGGAATTAAGACAAAAGTGGTTGGTAGCAATTAAGTTGTAAGGGGCTATAGGCAGTATGATAAGGACTTCGGGATTCATCCTATAGGCAGTGGGGAGCCATTGAAAGTTTTTGAGCAAGGAACTGTATGTACTAGTCCAGTTTTTAATTTAGGAGGATAGTTCTTTTAATTATAGCAGTTTGATGAAATATGGTAGGAGCCTGATTGCAGTGGCAATCAGGAGGAAGATGAAGGAATCTATTTGTGAGATATTTCGTATGGAGAACTGATGGGATTTGGCTGCCAGTTGAGACTGGTGGGTAGCAAGAAGAAGGAAGGTACATAGCATGACTCCGATTTATTGGAAAATAGATGTACGTTTTTGTCATTAACACCTTAGGGAAGCAAGGGGGAAGGCAGGTTGGGGTGGTAGATAAAATAATGAGTTAGCTTTTGGACATGTTAAATTTGAAATTCCTGTAGGGATACGTAGGTGGAGGTAGTTCCAGAGCTCAGGTGAGGGATGGAGACTAGAGGTCAGGATTTGGAAAAATTTACCTAGGAGAAGATATAAAGTAAGAGAAGGCGACAGACAAGGACAAAGTCTTGTTTAAAAACAACAACAACAGAAAACAGCACAACAAAACACCATCTTATCAGAAGTAGATGAGGAAGGAAATCAGCAAAGGAAACCAAAAAAGAGGAAATTGGAGAACCAAGAGTGGTGCCATGGATACAAGAGCATAGAGAGGGCACGGTCAATGGAGGTTACAGAGAGGTCATGAGATTAAGATTTGCAATGCATCCATTGGCTTGTCCATTATGAGATGATAGTGTCCCTACTGAAGTAAGTGGGCTAGAAGACAGATTGAAGAGAGACATTGGATAAATGGGAGGGAACAATCCATAGGCAGGCAATATAGCATTTTCTTTTAAGAACTTCATTAAAAAAATGGAGGGAGGTGGTATAGAATCACCATCAAATTGTACAGAAGACCATGGCTGATATAGGGAAGCTTGTGTTCTGCAGATATTAATCTTCATCATACAGCACCATTGGATACTTGGAAAGCTATAAATTAATGCTTGCTCAATGAATGTTTAGAATGTTCTTCTTTCTATCCTGTTCCTCTATTAGTGGATCTTGTTACTGCCTCTTTTCGGATTTATTATCTTGATCACCTGTGTTATTTATCCCCTTTTTTGACTGGTGATCTGTTCTTGTGGAATAGACCCTATGCTTATTTTTATGCTAGATATACCATATTCCTTTGCAATGTCATTTAGGGATTCATTAGGGAGAAAAAGCAAGTTATCCAGTCTGATACCCTCTGATAAGACACTTTCATTTGAAGGTAATTATAAACATTTAAAAATGATGTGATAATTGGAGGAGACAGGCAAGTGTATTGCTACAGTATGTCCTGAGAGATAAGAGGGCTGAAAACTTCAGAAAACCCTCTGATGAAGAAATGCAGTTAGTTATTACATTGTCTCCAAGGGAAAATCTAAAGCTTGTCTGGAATTTGCTTAGAAACCTAATTGTTCTTATTGTGAGCAAAATACATACTTTCAAGGAAAATTGTATTGATTACTGTCTATTGTTAGGGTACAACTAAGGACTTAACATGGACAATTCTATTTTTGAGTATTAAGAATCAGATAATTATTTGTGAGTGTATATGATATGACCTTGTTGTAATTTACATTTCCTTTCTCCCACCCTGTCTTTCTCCTCTAGGTGATATTCCCGTTGTTCTACTTAATTTTGCCACGATATCCCTGCAGGGTCCATTTAGCAGGGATACAGTGGAAAGCTGTGTGAAAGAAACTTTGCTTTTTTTATCACAATCCATTTCCACCAAACCAAATGTGGAGTTTACTTTCAAAGGAATCGGGATCCTCACGATTAAAGGCGGCAAAGTGAAGATGAGATTTTATAAGGATTTCCTTTCTAAAATGGATGGAACTGGGGCTTTGGCAGAAGCCCTCACAAATGTAAGTTAATGTTTTCCTTCTCCACACCCCTCTCCCAATCAAAACTTTGAATTACCTGTGTGTCATTATTAAGAAAAACTCAGGTTGACATTTTCTTTATTATTTTTTTAAATGTTTATTTATTTTGAGAGAGCGTGGGCACGCAAGTTGGGGGGACAGAGAGAGAGGGCGAGAGAAAATCCCAAGTAGGCTCCACACTGTCAGCATGCAGCCTGATGTGGGGCTCGATCTCAGGAACTATGCGATGGTAACCTGAGTTGAAATCAAGAGTCAGACACTTAACTGACTGAGCCACCCAGGCGCCCTGGGTTGATGTATTTTAAATGGCACTTACCCCAAGTGCAAAAAAATGCTTGTTTATAGATGGTTAACTCTTTAACAAAAAGGTTAGAAGGGCAAAGAAACCTTAAGTTTTGAGTCAATACCAACTGAAAAATATAAATAGTAATAAAAGCGTTCATAATTCTGAATACTTTATAGTACCATATAGTGTTTAAAAATTCTTCCATTTCTATTATTTCATTTGAGTTTGAAAACATTATAAAACTGGCATTATTATCATCCTGATTTTACAAATGAGAAAAATGGAGGTTCAGAGAGATTATGTGGGAAGCCTGAAATCAGAGTGCTAATAAGTGGTAGAACCAGACTTCCTAATGGCTCTTTTTTTTTTTTTTTGGCTGGTTATAGCATTTATTTATTTATTTATTTATTTATTTATTTATTTATTTAGAGTGCACAAACAGCGGAGGGGCAGAGACCATGAGAGAGAGAATCCCAAGCAGACTCCATGCTCAGCATGGAGCCCGGGGTAGGGTTTGATCTCATTAACTGTGAGACAAGATCAAGAGTTAGATGCTTAACCGACTGAGCCACCTAGGTGTCCTTATGGTATTTTATTTTAATGACAGTCTACAATAAATCGAGTCATGGAAATGTATCTTTAGCTTTTAATTTGCCATACTGTGGAAGAAATTTCATAATTGACCCCATCATTATTATTCAGTAGCTGGTATGACCTTCATGCTAAGTTGGACATAGCAGAGTTTAAGGAGGTAGTGAAACAGTTAATCACCAGAACTAACTGAATGCTTAGTGTGCCTTAAGAATGAATAAAATTGGTACAAATGAATTATATTATCATAGAATGTTATAAAATCCTGGGTTCCATAGAGCAAAAGCCTGATTTTTAAGTGAAAGACTATAAAATGAAAGTTTATAAATACGGTCTAATTCTACTCTACTTTCTAATTTCCTCTTTCATGGAGCTCTGGGATGGGGATTTAAGAGTTGTGCATAATGAAGCTCTTGGTGTTTTCTGCACAATCTGGCTTCATGTAGGATTTTAAAGATAGGCACTAACCCTGTGTATGTAAAGTGGAAACATGCAGCTATCACCCTCCCGTTTCCATGAAAATACAGCAGAAGCAAGGCCAAAGTGCTGGCCCATCTCTAATCTTCAGGGATTCTACAGAACTTTGTAGTTTTAATAACATGTTTATAAGAGAGGACAGCCTGCTGCACTCTTAAGACATAACTTTGAAGGAGCATTTTCCAGAAGTAGTCATCCCGAGAGATATTCTATGAAAAAAGGATCTGGAGACCAAAGCAGATGGAGGGCTGCTGCATATATCACCCTCCTGGACAGAAGCACAAAACACACTGGCATGTTAAAGGATCTGAGAAGTCTGCTTTAACTGACTGAATCATGAATCGTGGAACTTTTGGTTAATCCAAGGCTTGTTAACAGCAAAAATCACATTTTGGGGGGATGCCTGGGTGGCTCAGTTGGTCCGACTTGGGCTCAGGTCATGATTTTGCAGTTTGTGAGTTCGATCCCCTCATCGTGCTCTGTGCTGACAGCTGAGATCTTGGAGCCTGCTTCGGATTCTGTGTCTCCCTCTCTCTCTGCCCCTCCCCCACTTGTGCTCTGTCTCTCTCTATCAAAAATAAATAAAATGTAAAAAAAAATTTTTTTTTAAATCACATTTTGGGAAATTGCTATAAAGTGGTGAGAGTGATTCTTTCCCCCCAAATGTCCCATAACTTAAACCTGAGTGTTGTTCTGCAGAGTAGTTCTCTTGGGAAGCTGTAGGTTTATTTCAATGATGCTGCTTTTGCTGGAACCATATTTAAAACTTCTTTTTGCAAATTCCCTTCAAAGCCTTTTGTAAACCATATCATTTCAAAAATAATTTTGGATTTCTATACTAGTATAATGTAATAATGTCATTACTGTAAAATGTGATAATAATTATAATAGCTGCTATTTTTTGAGTGTTTATTATGTGCCAGCCACTTACATACAGTACCTCATAAAAATTCTATGAATTAGATCCTGTTATCCCCACATACTCAGGGTTTAAGGTTACATAACTTAACAGTGTGGGGATGTGAACATGAATCCACGTGACTTCAAAGCCCTTCTCTTACCCTTCTCTTAGAGTTATTTGGGTCAAGAGTGGAATTGGCTTCCTTGCTTATTTTCCTCATAGTTTCAAATAAGTCAGCTCTCCTCTTAAAGATGTATAAAAGAAGCCATCAACTCTGAAGGTAATTTCTAAAGAGGAAATGGTTTGAGAAAAGGCAGCATCAGTGGAATTGGTATGAGACTATCCACGGTGATAAATGAGATAATTCCTCTTTGGATTTTAAGCTCTAGACTTTAAGCACTAAAAAAATATAAATAGGGGCGCCTGGGTGGCGCAGTCGGTTAAGCGTCCGACTTCAGCCAGGTCACGATCTCGCGGTCTGTGAGTTCGAGCCCCGCGTCGGGCTCTGGGCTGATGGCCCAGAGCCTGGAGCCTGTTTCCGATTCTGTGTCTCCCTCTCTCTCTGCCCCTCCCCCGTTCATGCTCTGTCTCTCTGTCCCAAAAATAAATAAAAACGTTGAAAAAAAATTAAAAAAAAAAATAAATAAATAGAAACAGAAATAACAATAGAGAGTATCATGGTAGCCTTGCCTCTGAGACTGCCTATAGCTTTGATTTGTATGTGTCCTAGACCACTGCCCCAAGGATAACCTTTCTCTTTCTCTGTCCTCCAGAGGCCTGGCACTGTGGACTCCGTGTTGTCCAGCGGAGAGAGCTCAGAGAAGCAATCCAAGTGTGGGTGTGCATTTCCAAGGTCAAGTGTTTTTCTCCACAGGTTCCTCCAGGCACAGCAATCCTTGTTGATTTATTAATGTGATTGGGTAGTGTTTCTCATCTTTCCTGGCTCATGCTCCTTTTAGTGTTCTCTCTCTTTCAGTGTTCCAGCAAAGAAGGATTTGTTGCATACACTTTCCATAGTTAAGTTAGAAAGCAATGGCCAGTTAGACTATTTTATTTATGATAACTCAACAACTCTATACATTACTTGGTGCTTATCATGATAAATGTACTCTTAATCCCCTTTATTTCACCCATGCTTCACCCACCTCCCCTCTGGAAACCACCAGTTTGTTCTCTGTATTTAAGAATCTGCTTTTTTGTTTGACTCTTCTTTTCTTTTGTTATTTGTCTTGTTTCTTAAGTTCCACATATGAGTGAAATGATATGGTGTTTATCTTTGTCTGTCTGGCTTATTTAATTTAACATTATACCCTCTAGGTCCATCTAGACTATTCATTTTTTTTTTTTTTTAATTTTTTTTTTCAACGTTTATTTATTTTTGGGACAGAGAGAGACAGAGCATGAACGGGGGAGGGGCAGAGAGAGAGGGAGACACAGAATCGGAAACAGGCTCCAGGCTCTGAGCCATCAGCCCAGAGCCCAACGCGGGGCTCGAACTCACGGACCGCGAGATCGTGACCTGGCTGAAGTCGGACGCTTAACCGACTGCGCCACCCAGGCGCCCCTAGACTATTCATTTTTAAAACTACTCTTAGCTCCCTAGAAACTCTGATACTACCTCCCATCAATTTTAGTCCCTGCAATATTAGTGCAATTCTTCTCATCTTCTGGGCTTTCCTCTACCTTCCATCATTTCCTCTGAACTAGCTTTCTCTTTCTGCAGTCTAGCTCACCTGTCTGAGCTCTGATTCTTACCACTCAAGTGGTTAGAGAGATAAGGTAGAATAAAGGAACAACTTTATCCCAAGAGTGCAGTGGGTTTTAGTGGTGGCTGCTGACAATGATTATAATAATGATACTGATAATAATAATAATAATAATAATTGTCATCTATGGAATATTTACTACTGTAGATGTCAGATGCTATTAAGCACTTTCTCAATATTATTGCACTTAATTTTCACTTTAGCTATTTGAGATGTGTATTTAATTTTATCCATTTTATAGAGGTGCAAAATTGTAATTTTAATTTTTTTTTCTTTTAATAAGTGAAACAACATGGTGCAGTATTAAGAACACTGGAATAGGGGGCACCTGGGTGGCTCAGTCAGTTGAGTGTCCAACTTTGGCTCAGGTCATGATCTCGTGGTTTGTGGGTTTGAGCCCTGCATCGGGCTCTGTGCTGACAGCATGGAGCCTGGAGCCTGCTTTGGATTCTGTGTCTCCCTCTCTCTCTGCCCTTGCCCTACTCATGGTCTGTCTGTCTGTCTCTCTCAAAAGTAAATAAACATTTAAAAAAATTTTTTTAAAAAGTACACTGGAATAGGAGTCAGGAGACTTGGTTTTTTTTTCCCCCAGTTTAGCTGTCACTCACTCATTGTGTACCCTTAATCATGTTCTTAATTTTAATTGCTATGCCATTAACTATTACGCTTTTCAGGTGGAGGAAGTTTGGGGAATAACAACCAGCTTCCCAGAGTATTATTTTCTCATGGTTTTTAAATCTGTGACATCCTCCTGTGTTAGTTGGTTTGGAAAAACCCCCTCTAGGAAGGACTGTATGACATACCTCAAAATCAGTGTGAGGGTCAGAATAAACATTAGAGATTAGTTAGTCTAGACCCTTAATATTGTGGATGAAATGGACAAACAACTGAGTGGCCAAGCTAGAAATAAAACCATGGCTCCTGACTGTTCCACTATTCTTTCCATTGTACCATGTTGCTTTACTCATTAAAAATAAATCAATGGATTCAAAATAATTTTATTGTGATTGTATTTTGGAAGGCAAATTTGGCTGCCCCCTTGGACATATTTTGGCTGAAGCATTCCAGGAGGGAAATAATTGCAATGGGTCAAGAACAGAGATGGAAGCTCCTGTTAACTAGAGAGCCTAGATATGGACCGGAGAACTCAAATACTCAAAATAGTTGTAGATGTTTTATTCATATGAAGTTTGGTCCCTGAATTTACTGGAAGTACCACCCCTCCCCCACTGCCCTCTCTCCTGCTTACACCTCTAACCCAGCACTCCATACTTGAGACCACAGAAAACCTACAACTACATGCACCAGCTGAACACATCCATTCCCCCATTGTGCTTTTGCAAGTCCCTCACTTTTGCCTGGGGAAAGGATGGAGCTGTGGGGGAGGAGAAAGAGGAAGGGGAGGAGCAGTTATTTCTGGGCATATTTTGGTCTCTGCCTACCAGGCTGTGAATCTTTGCCTTTAAGTCATCCAACAGCCACCTTTCACTGTCACCTCTATGCATCCGGTTACAGAACTAGAAAAGACAGCCGGGTTCAAACTGAGACCAAACCCAAAGCTTAAATCCCTCAATTTATCTTCATAAGAGCTGCTTTTGAGGCCTCAGTACTGAGAGGGGAGGTCTTGGTTGGCTGCCAAACTTAGCCTGAAAGAGAGCCTCAGTAAATCAAAGCACTTGCCCCCTTGAGAGAAGTGGGTGTATTTCAGAACCAGATAGCTAGCTGGGTTGCTTCTAGGGATTGAAAGTTCACACATTCACCTATTCAGGCCCAGAGCAGTAAACATCGTGGCTTGTTTCTAGGATTGAGATCAAGACGTTGGACAAAAAACCACCTATGGAGACCATTGTAGAGGAAGATGAAAATGAAATGAATGGACAAGAGAAGTGCGAATTAAAAGACCATCCAAGCAAAGAAGGCGTCAGAGGTAGGCCAATATTGCTACCATATTGATGGTAGCCCAGCCATATTGCTTAGTGACTTCTATGCTCAAAATAAATAAAGTTAGAATCATGAATAATTACTGTATTCTTCTTTCTAACATATATCTTCTATTCCTGGAATCTTGTATCTCATCTTAACCACTTTTTGACTCTCAGGCTTTTAGACTATGATCTCTTTACTGGTTCCCCATTACTTAAAGAGGTCAAAATTCATATGCCTACAGGGTCCAGTCAGATAATGTAAATGTATGAAGTGGGTTGCATTTAACATGATAGGGTGACATGTTAGCATAAATAATAATTTTTATGAAAAATGGAGAATGGAAGTTTTGCATCTTTGATACTTGGCTTAATATAAGGTGGCTGGATTTTCATATCTGTGTCTTCATTTAGTCTGTTATGATATGTTTGTGTTGGTTGAAGCATATGAAGAAAATCCTAGGATTTCAAAGACTTTTGGAAAGGATCCTAGGGATCCTTAGGGGTTGCCATGCCACCCTTTGGAAACTTCCTTTAGGAGATTATTGCTTTGTAGGCAACACACTAATTGACGTTGAAGCAAAAAATGCTGATAGAGCCAAAAAAAAAAAAAAAAAAAAAACCCCATGTCAGTGGGTAGACATTGGCTTGTGGATATTGTTTTTGCAACATGTGGCCTACAGGATTACATGTAAACTGTTAGCCTAATATTCACATGCTTTTGTGTCTGTAACCTCATCTGTCACTGTTTCCTATAGATTCCTTCTCTGAGCAGAATTGTCTATTTATGTCCTTCTAACACATCTTGTCCTTCCCTGACTTCATGTTTTTGTTCATTCTTTTTCTCTTGCCTAGAATGTCCTTCCTTTTCTTACAGTCTAGCCCAATCCTACTCACCTCTTAGCATCATTTTTACATCGCACTTACTCCATGAACACTTCTCTCATCACTGGATTCTGAAGTGTCTTCTTTCATCTCTAAACATGGCAGACCCTTAAAGATAGCACCATCAATTGGAATGTAGACGTTTTTCATCATTGCCCTGAGTTGCTATTTATGCAATGTATGCAAAGCAACTTAGCATTGTAGGCATGTAATAAGACCTTCACGATGAGAGCTCTTGGGGTTTTTGTCTATATCTTATTTTTCTCTACAACTATAGATCTTCCCCAATTTAACGATGGGGTTATGTTCAGGTTAACCCATTATAAGTTGAAACTATCATAAGCTGACAATGTGTTTAATACATCTAACCTACTGAACATTATAGCTAGCCTGTCTAAAATGTGTCATCTAGCCTACATTAGCCTATAGTTGGACAAAATCACCTAACACAAAGCCTATTTTATAATTAAGTATTGAATATCTTATGTAACTTATTGACTACTGGAAGTGAAAAACAGACTGGTTGCATGGGTACAGAATAGCTGGAAGTGTATCGCTTGTTCACTCTCCTAACTGTGGCTGGCTGCCTGCTGCAGCTTGCTGGGCCGCCCAGCATCCCCAAGGGAATGTTGTGTCACATATCACTAGTTCAGGGAAAGATCACAATTCAAAATTCAAAGTGCAGTTTGTACTGCATGCACATCACTTTACACCATCAAAAGCCAAAGTCACAAATCATAAGTCAAACCATTATTAAGTTGAGATCTTAATTAATTAAGTTGAGATCTTTTGAAAGATCTTGAAGGGCAAAGACTTGCCTCTTGTATTTTCTAAAGTGACTAGCCAGTGTCTTGCACGTAATAAATATACAAAAAAATATTTGTTTGAATCACACTAGGGCAAGGGACAATAATTTAAGATAAGAAATGTATCTCATATATAAATTTTCCCGGGTAAAATAACGAGTTTTAAAAATTAGTTAAGTACAAAACCACCCATTTAAAGTTGAAAGGAAACTTGGTTTCATTCATTTTACAGAGATCATAACACACAAGAGACTTCGAGAAAAACATGCTCTCTCTCCTTTCAAAGTGACAAACATCAGCTTTCCAAACATGGCGGAGCAGAATGTTAGTGGTGGTAAGAGTGTGAACCGCAAAAGGTAATGCATTGGTATTTTATCTGGTGTCTGTTACTAAATATATTTTTGAGTTATATCTTGATGCAGGGAATTTAAATGAGTGTTTATTCATTCCTTCATTCTGTATCCTTGAGTACATTCTACCTGTTAGGTGATTGGGATAATAGATTCAGTCAGGGCTCATAATCTAGTGGGAAAGCCAGGCATACATAGAGGGATAAATTATGACTCAGTAGGATAAACACTATGACAGAGGTGGAAACAAAATAGCACAGGGGAGAGAACATCTAACTCTCTTGTGGATTTGGGAAAATTTCCCTTGTTTTCCAATTTGGATCAAATTGGAAAGCAGTTTTGCTAAACATGGCTGGCATTCAATAAACATTCTTTGAATGAATGAATGTATTACAATTCATTATGGTCATGTCTTCTAACAATGTTATGTCAAAAGATTTCTATTTTCATTTTTTTAAAGTTTACTTATTTGTTTTGAGAGAGAGAGAGAGAGCAAGCAAAGGAGAGTCAGAGAGAGGAGAGAGAGAATTCTAAGCAGGCTCCACACTGTCAGTGCAGAGCCTGATGTGGGGCTTGAACTCACAAACCATGAGATCATAACCTGAGCTGAGATCAAGAGTCAGATGCTTAACTGACTGAGCCACCCAGGCACCCCAAAAGATTTCTATTTTCTTTTTTTTTTAACACACTTTTTTTTTTAAAGTTTATCTTTTACTAATTTTGAGAGATGGAGAGCAAGTGGGGTAGGGGCAGAGAGAGAGGTAGACAGAATCCCAAGCAGGGCTCGATCTCAGGAACTGTGAGATCATGACCTGAGCTGAAATCAAGAGTCAGATGCTCAGACTGAGCCACCCAGGCACCCCAAGTAGGACACTTTTTAAAACCTCAAATTAGTCAACCATACTCAAGTTATCTATTGAGCATTGATTATTTATACTGCATTGGGCTAGCAAATTTGAATTTGTTAATGTGTCACAATGTATCAGCTATCATATGTGTGATTTATGCACTCTGTGGTACTAAAGTCATGTTCAAAACCCTGGGCATGCTTGTTTTGAATAATCTCATGGTTATGAAAGATAATTGTGAATTAAATGTCTTGTACTTTGGAATTTAGTTCAATCCAACAGACACTGAGCACCACAGTATGCTGGGTATTACTTTAGACACCAAAGACACAGAGCTGTAAGACATATAAAAGACATATAAACAGTCTCTTAGGGAGACTGACACTAAAGAAGTAGTACACATGGTAAAGACAACAAAAGAAAGTACAGGAGCTGCAAGGAGGAGGGAGTAATTAATTGTTAGGGCTTATTGGTGGAGGCTTCCTATAGATGTTGACCAAAAAATGGTTGGTTGTGTGTGTGTGTGTGTGTGTGTGTGTGTGTGTGTGTGTGTGTGTGTAATGTATATCACAGAAATTTTGAAAAATGAGAAAAGGAATAGATACAAAAAAATCACCCATTATACATATATTTATATATATTTATTTTTATTTATTTTTTTTTATTTATATATGAAATTTATTGTCAAATTGGTTTCCATACAACACCCAGTGCTCATCCCAAAAGGTGCCCTCCTCAATACCCATCACCCACCCTCTCCTCCCTCCCACCCCCCATCAACCCTTAGTTTGTTCTCAGTTCTCAACAGTCTCTTAAGCTTTGGCTCTCTCCCACTCTAACCTCTTGTTTTTTTTTTTTCCTTCCCCTCCCCCATGGGTTCCTGTTAAGTTTCTCAGGATCCACATAAGAGTGAAACCATATGGTATCTGTCTTTCTCTGTATGGCTTATTTCACTTAGCATCACACTCTCCAGTTCCATCCACGTTGCTACAAAAGGCCATATTTCATTCTTTCTCACTGCCACGTAGTATTCTATTGTGTATATAAACCACAATTTCTTTATCCATTCATCAGTTGATGG